AACCTAGAGGACATTATGTTAAGTGATATAAGCTAGGCACAGCCTACATGATCTTACTTGTATGTAGAATCTTTAAAAAAAAAAAAAAATCAAACTCAAAGAAATAGAGAATAGAATGGTGGTTACCAGGGTGAGCAGGGGTCAGAGGGACTGGGCTTTGGGGATATGTTGATAAAAGGATAAAAATTTTTGTTTTTTGAGACAGGGTCTCTCTGTCACCCAGGCTATAGTGCAGTGGCGTGATCACAGCTCTCTGAAACCTCAAACTCCTGGCACAATCTCCTGAGTAGCTGGGACTACAGGTGCACGTCACCGCGCCCAGCTAATTCTGGTTTTTTTGTTTGTTTTTCTTTTTCTTGTAGGGACAGGTCTTGCTATGTTGCCCAGGCTGTTCTTAAACTCCTGGGCTTAAACAGTCCTCCAACTGTGGCCTCCCAAATTGCTAGCATTACAGGCATGGGCCACCACACCCAACCCAAAATTCGTTGGATAGGAGGAATAAGTGTATGAGGTCTGTTGTACAACATAGGGACTATAGTTAATAGCAATGTATTGAAAATTGCTAAGAGAGTAAATTTTAAGTTTACTTACCACAAATGAGAAGTATGTGAGGTAATGCATATGTTAATTAGCTCATTTTAGCCATTCTACAAAGTATGCATATTTCAAAACATGGTGTATACAATAAATATATGTAATTTTTATTTTTCAACTAAAATAATTTAAAAATGTTTTTAAATATAAATAATTAAATTTTAGAAAATGATAAAATATTTATGAGGATATTTACAAAGGAAAGCTCTTAGAACAGTCCTTTTGGTTAATATATTATGAGCATGATTTATGGTGAGAATTAGAAGATACAAAAAATTAAAGGGAAGAAACTTGGGAAAAGCACATTGTATTGAGTGCTATTTGCTAAACACTTTGCCACATATTCTTCACAGTCCCAAAATAAGTTAATATGTTTTACTTAGAATTTGTTTTTATTGGAGATAATGTAGAAATTGAAGCAAGTTTACTGATTTAACAATGACTGAATACCTGCTATGTTCCAAGCAACATTCTAAGTGCTGAGGGAACAAAAAATAAAATCTTTGTCCTCATTGAGCTGCATTTTAGTGCAGAGAGGTAGACAGTACCAAAATAGCTAAACTATATAAACCATTATATGCTGTTAAGTGCTCTAGAGAAAAGTAAATTAAGGGAGTAGTTTGGGAACATTGGGATGTGTTTGCAGTCTTAGATGAGGGGAATCTAGCTAAAGGGTGATTCTGAGCACATTGAGGAAGCATGCCATACAGACAGCTGAGGAGAGTATTGCTGGCAGAGCACACAGCAGGTGCAGGGACTGCCTGCCGGGGAGCTTTTGTGATGTGGGCGGCACAGTGGCCTGAGGGGCTGGAGCAGAGTGAATGCAGAGGGAGTATCAAGAGGAAAGGTCAGAGAAGGAATGGAAAGGTACTAGCACAAATCTTGAAGTTTGTCATGAGAACTTTAGTGTTTGAGTGAGATGGGAAACCATTTGGGAGGGCGTTTGTGGAAATGAGTGACATAATATCACTTATATTTTAACACAGCCACTCCTGCTGATGTGTTGAGAGAAGACTGTGTGTGGTTGAGGGCCTGGGAGAAATAAGGGAGCCCCATTAGAACATTACTGCAATGAAGTGGCTTTCCTAGAGTGGTAGCTAGTGGAGTTGATAGAAGATAGATTATATATATATTTTAAAGGTAGAGCCAACAGAATTTGCTGGCAGGTTGAATGTGGTGTGTGAGAAAAAGGAACGAAGGTCTTTTACCCTAAGCTATAGGAAAAACAGTATTAGCAATAATTGAGATGGGGAAGATGATAGGAAGAGTAGACCTGAGGAGAGAGATCAAGAGTTCCCTTTTGGACATGTGAAATGATGCCTTTTAGACAACCACATGGAGATGCTGAGTAAGCAATTGGAAATGGAAGTTCAAAAGAGAGGTCCAGGCTGCAGATATAAAATAGTTATTTAAACCATGAGACTGGATGAAATCAGTAAAAGTACAGTTATTTGTTGTCTAAAGACTGGAGTACGTTCTGAGAAATAACATTGTTAAGTGATTTTGTGTGAACATCATGCAGTGTACTTCCACAACCTAGATGGTCTATCCTACTACACACCTAAGCTGTATGGTATAGCCAGTTGCTCCTAGGCTCCGAACTTAATCAGCGAGTTACTGTACAGAATACTGTAGGCAATTGTAACACAATGGTATTTGAGTATGTAAACATACAATAGGTACATTAAAAATATGGCATAAAGGCCAGGTGCGGTGGCTCACGCCTGTAATCCTAGCACTCTGGGAGGCCGAGGCGGGTGGATCATTTAAGCTCAGGAGTTCGAGGCCAGCCTGAGCAAGAGCAAGACCCCATCTCTACCAAAAATAGAAAGAAATTGGACAACTAAAAATACATAAAAAAAATTAGCCGGGCATGGTGGCGCGTGCCTGTAGTCCCAGCTACCCGGGAGGCTGAGGCAGGAGGATCCCTTGAGCCCAGGAGTTTGAGGTTGCTGTGAGCTAGGCTGACCCCACAGCACTCTAGCCCTGGCAACAGAGTGAGACTCTGTCTCAAAAAAAAAAAAAAAAAATATTGCGTAAAAGAAAAAGTGGTATACCTGTATAGGACACTTAACATAAATGGAGCTTATAGGACTGGAAGTTGCTCTGGTGAGTTAGCAAGTGAGTGGTGAGTAAATGTGAAGGCCTAGGACATTACCATTTACTACTGTAGACTTTATAAACACTGCACACTTAGGCTACAGTAAATTTATTTTTAAAAATTCTTACCTCAACAGTAAATTAACTTTAGCTTACTATAACTTTTTTACTTTATGTACTTTTTATTTTTGACTCTTGTAATAATAGCTTAAAACACAAACACATTGTACAGAAAGTATAGTATAGTAAATATATGAACCAATAACATATTCATTACTGTCAGTATAGGACTGGCAGCACGGTAGGTTTGTCTATACCAGCACCACCAAAAACAGTTGAGTAATGCCTTGTGCTGTGATGTTACAATGGCTACAACATCACCAAGCTATGGGAATTTTCAGCTCCACTATAATCTTGTGGCACTGCCATTACATAGTCAGTGCTTCATTGACTAAAACATTGCTGTGCTGTGCGTGAGTGTATATGGGTGTAGAAGAAGAGAGGGCAGACAAAAGAGTGAGTCCTGGGGCATTCATTCCAGCATGTAGAGATGTGAGAAAGAAGAAAGCCCCCACAATGGTGACTGGGATTGTGTGATGCCAACAAGAAGGGGCAGCCATGCCCTCCCCGGGGAGCTCAGAAACAGTTCGTCAGTGAAACCTAAATCTATTCTCAGTGGCTCCAATAAGTAGCAGCTAATGATACAAGGGGACAGACAAGAGGTTATAGTGTACTGGAAGCCAAATAAAGGAAAGTGTTTCCACGAGGGCAGACCGACCACCTCTGTGAGCTCCTGAAAGCCTGAATGTAATGGTTTCAGGAAAGAATAGGAGGGGAGGAATCAGAGATAATAAATCTAGATGAGTCTTTTGAAGAGTTCTGCTGTAGAAGAGAGCAGAGAAATGAAGCAGTTGATGGCAGGAGAAAGGAGCCAAGAGTTTTGTTTTTAGCTGGCAAAAGTTAAAGCATATTTATATGTTTATGGGTGTGATCTAGTAAAGTAGAAGGGTTGGTGTTACACGAGAGGGATGAAAATTGCTGTGCAGATGAGGGGATTTGTTGTACTGCACAAGTTGGAGGATTGGCTTTAGCTAGATGCAGACGTTTCATCCATTGTAACAGGAGGCAACACAGATACTGATAGGTGGTGGAGGTTTGTGGAAGGTCCCTGTGATAGTTCCTATTTTTTAGTGAAATGATAAGCAAGTACATCAGCTGAGATTGAGAGTGGAGAAGGAGCTGCTGGAGATTTGAAAAGAGAAGGAGGTATGAAATAGTCATTTAGGACAGTAGGGAGGGGAATAGACAAGAGAAATGTCATATGCTAGCCAGTCAGCCTTAAAGGGGCCTGGAGTAAGTGGTCATGTATTTGAAGTGAGATCAGTCCAATCATATTCAGGCAGAACTAGGACTTAATCAGGGTGGGTTGTTTTGTCTGGGAGAAAGGTTGAAGAGACAGAAGGGAGTATGCATAATTGGGTATGTGAAGAGAGAGAGGAGTTGAGGGTATATGCAAGGAAATGATTATGATGATTGGCCCAGGGATTTAAGACGACTAATGAGGAATTGAGGGATAGAGGGTGAGGGTAAAGTGAGATAGAAGGACAGGGAAAAGTTCTAAGAGCAAAGGCTTATAGGACCTGATGGGTTTGTAGGATTATTGATATCTGGGCACTAGAGGAAGTAAGCTGGAAAAGAAGGATCATCTAGTTGGATATTGAAATCATCAAGAAGTGTTGGAGGACTAATGTTGGAGGTGGTGACAGTGAGCCAGGAACTAAAATTTTCATGGACTGAGTGAGAATGAATAGATGTTCATCGATGGCTGCAGTGTGGAGGGAAGTGGATGATGTGATGTGATGACATGAGATTCAAAGCTGGGTGTGTTCAGGGAGGTGGCAGGGACAGAACCGTAATGAGCAGCAAGGAGAGCCATCCCACTAGCAGGCCCAGTTCTATTTCCTTTAAGAGTAAGTTAAATAAATAAAGAGCAAAATATTGTTAAAATTTTTTTTACTAATATCTGACTTAGTATTTTTGCAACTTTTTATTAATAATTAGGAAAAACTGACTTAAATTTATCACTTCAAGATACTTTTCAGTTCTGTATTAAACACCGCAGCTGAGTTAAACCTCAAAACTTCTAACATGTTTAAGAAAGAAAATTATGTTGTATGTCCATTTTTGTAACCTATATATGACTGTTTATTGTGTATTGTTGTACATATTAGAGACTATTTTGTTATCTATTGAGCACTTAATAAATTATTTACCTGACGTTTTGTTGTCTCTCTTCTTCCTTCTAGATTACATACCGGTTACGGCACCTCCTTCGTGCAAGGTGTGATGCTTCTCCAGTGACCAACAACACCATCCAATTTCACTGTGATCCTAGTTTCTGGGCTCAAAATATTATCAACTTAGGTAGGCCATTATTTACATTTTCTCGAAGTGCCATTTGTTTGTGGAATTTATAATTACTATGACATGTTAATGAAAACATACTCTCTTCTACCCCCAGCATGTTTTCATTATCTTGATTTAAAGACATGTCATTTTTGCTAGTATTTCATTTATGTATATGGTGACACATGCATGAATATAAACACATGTACATATATGGATGATAGAAAAACATTCTATATATTGACTTACAAGGTGTCTAGCTAGGCTTAGGAATATATAGGTGTCCTCCCATTCCACCCCACCCTCACAGAATCCAGTTTGTATTGTTAGCTCTAGATTTATCAGAATGGGGTTTTTTTTTTTTTTGAGACAGAGTCTCACTTTGTTGCCCGGACTAGAGTGCTGTGGCGTCAGCCTAGCTCACAGCAACCTCAAACTCCTGGGCTCAAGCAATCCTACTACCTCAGCCTCCCACGTAGCTGGGACTACAGGCATGTACCACCATGCCCGGCTAATTTTTTTTATATATACATTTTTAGTTGCCCAGCTAATTTCTTTCTATTTTTTTTAGTAGAGACGGGGTCTTGCTCTTGCTCAGGCTGGGCTCGAACTCCTGAGCTCAAAGGATCCGCCTGCCTCGGCCTCCCAGAATGCTAGGATTACAGGCGTGACACGCCACCGCGCCCGGCCAGAATGGGTTAACTCTTGATATAGGACTTTTGATATTTAGAATGTTTTCATTTAAAATACTGTTTCTCATGCTATTATTGGCTTATCTTTAAACCCATTCAATAGGCACCTAATGCTTCAATCACTTTATCTTGCTTAGGGAACACTTTTAATTTTTTTCATTTGCCTGGTAATAATTTATATATATGTGTGTGTGTGTGTGTGTGTGTGTATATATATATTCCTAATAGAAGTGTAACATACATACAGAAAAGTACCCAAATCTTAAGTACAGTCCTATACTGTGTAACAACATCTCAGTCAATGAAGGTCTGCATATACAACAGTAGTCCCATTAAGATTATAGTACTGTTATTTTTACCTTTTCTATGTTTAGAAATGTTCAGATACACAAATAACATTGTGTTACAATTGAGTACAGTCACATGCTGTACAGATTTGTAGCCTAAGCTATACCTAGGAATAGTCTATACCAAATAATCTAGGTGTGTAGTAGGCTATACCATCTAGGTTTGTGTAAGTATACTTTATAATGTTTGCATCAAGTCCAAATTGCCTAACAATGCATTTCTCAGAACTTATTCCTGTCCTTAAGCAACACATGACTGGATTAGAGCTTACTGAATTATCACAAAGGGAGACTATCATTTTGGTAACATTAGGAGCTAAAATATCCTTGTAAGCAGTTCAGCAGAAAGTTATTACTTTAGCTTTTTTATTATACTATTTGCTGAGTAGAAACAATCTTTTTGCCTTATTTCTTAATTTCTCATGGGAAACTACACAAGCTGAAATTTAAGAATTCCCTATGTGTTGTTCGTTCATCAACAACCAATATTCCTTTGATGACATTTTTTGGCCTTACTGATGATGGTTGAGAATCATCAAAGATGGTTGCTCTCTTATCCCCAAGGCTAGATTCTGGGTAGGAAGGGGAAAAAATGGCTGGAGAGAGAGCCTGTGCTCACCAGGAAAAGAAGAAATAGGTTTACACAAATCTCACCCATACAAGGAAACAAAAAGAATCCTTGAAGCAAAGGTGATAAGGAGACCCCTACAGACCAGATGGGAAGTATGTACAGCCGTATGAATATTGATACACAGCAGGCAACTGGAATTACACACACTTACCCACCTTAATGAAAAGAAGCATCTTTAGGAATACAAAGCATATGTGTAAGTAGCTCTGGTTTTTATCATACCCCACTCTACCACTGCACATTCGTGTATACTGAGAACTCCTGATGAGATATGAATCCACATAAGCAGTCATATATGTAGAGATGTATGTACTTATAAATATATCACTTAAAATATGTAAACCACATGTAGACATAGGTGCATTTAAGAATTATATTTAAAACTGGACACATTTAAATGGATATAGTTTTACATAAGTCTGCATTAGCAAAAATAAAGCAAAAACATGATCTCTTAGTCAAATAAGTTTGTGAAGCTCTAATATAATAAAGTTAAACAATATCTTTTACTCTAGGACTTCTTAGAGCTGTCATATATAGCCCAGTGAATTCATTTACAATGAGATTTACATTGTGAATCTCTCAAGAAGGAGGCAAATTTCCTGAATTTGTTTATCCTTGGCTTCTGAGAAACATAGAAGAGTGCTAGGGAAAAATACTGATCTAGGTAAATATTTCATTAGTGTCGTGATGACTTTGGGTGAGTTTTTCTCTCTCTAAACCTTAGACCGCTTATGTGTGAAAGGGAATATATACCTACCTGGCACAGTGAATAACACACAGGAAGTATTTAATGAATGATAACTATATATTTTTAGAATACATATATTTAGTCAATCAGAAACATTTGAGTCTCTACTGTTGAAGAAATCAGGCTTGGATCAGATCTATCAGAGAGGAGACACCTTTAAATTCTAAAACTGTGGTTTCAAGTTAGTCAAAGTATTGTTTATCAAAGAATAGTATGCATTGTAAAGGTATAAGAACTTCAGAGATTGCAGAAACGCTTTGTGGGATTGTTTTTAGAGCAAATGTCAGGTTTGCTTGTTTCGATATACAGCAGCAGTTCTCAAAGTAATAGTCTAAGGCTCTTTCAGGGGACCACAAACACCACACCCTTTTCCAACTACATATCTGGATGAGACTGGATTTTTTCATATATTTTAACATCATAAAATATATTTGTCATATATTATGATGGATAATGGAGAAACAGATATGAGAGTTCACCTATTAAGCCAGGCATTTAAAGAGATTTTAAAAAATGTATAATAATACCAATCTTCACTAAGTATTTTTTAAAATATAGTTTTCATTAAAATGTGTGTGGCTTTATTGTTATTTTTAAATGAATTAGTAATTTTTTTTAAATTCTCATTTTTGCTTTCTAACATTGTAAGTTTTGATTGATAGAAACTACGTAAACAATGGCTCTTTGCAGTGCTCTATTTTTAAGAGCGTAAAGAGGTCCTAAGACCAAAGAGTTCATTGGCATTTCTGAAGTTCAGCAAAAAGGGCCTTGCCAAATGTGATATTTCATCAGCTATCAGAAAAACTTTATCCCGTAATCTTTTCTCTTTAATTAGGTTCTTTAGTAATCGAGGATAAAGAGAGCCAGCCACAAATGCCAAAGCAGAATCCTGTCGTGGAACAGAATTCACAGCCACCAGGTGGTTTATCTTCAAACCAGTTATCCAAGTTTCCAACACAGATCAGCCTAGCTCAATTACGGCTCCAGCATATGCAGCAACAGGTAATCGCTCAGAGGCAACAGGTGCAACGGAGGCCAGCACCTGTGGGTTTACCAAACCCTAGAATGCAGGGGCCCATCCAGCAACCTTCCATCTCTCATCAGGTAAATTTGGAAGCAGGCCTGTCCTAACTTAGATAATTATAGTATAATTGTGTTCAGCTCGTAAAATAACCAAGACATCCATTTTCCGTGGTTTAAATATATGAATTTATAAAAATTTATCACACTAAGAATCCCTGATTTAACACCTAGTTTTTATCCCTACTCAAAAAGGATTTAATGGTTTATTTAGCTGATAAATCTACTTTCATCTATTCTTCATTGTCTTCAGCAGATAAATGTTTATATTCCTCAATAACCCATGTGTATGATTGATGGGAAAAGCTGTGTACCTATAATTCCTATATTAGTGTCCGAAAATGACAAAAACTTTAGAAATTCATTCTCTGTAAGGATGCAGTGTTTAGAAAACCACATTGCATCTTAGAAACTAGGGCAAAGTGAAGTAGAAAAGAGCAGAGGTGTGGTTAATTAGAACCTATCTTTCTCAAACTTGTTTCTGAGCAAATATTCCGTCTACCATTCTTATTCTACTAGATATGAAATATTCTGCTAATTTTCAATGTAATTTTTGAAGATAAAATGTAAACATACTTTTGTTAAATACTTTAACAGTCCTGTTCAAGTTAGATGTGGGGATAGATAGATTTAGTAAAGGTTTAATAAGGAATCTAAAATCTAATTCATATAAATTATTATTTTCAGTTACATTTATTTACTAATTTATACTCTTCCTAATTTTGCAAAAGATTTAAAGTGATTTACAGTAAAGGACACAAATTAAATTGAGCAGGGTTTAATAAGAGTCAAATAAAGTATGTAAGCCTAGGCTAAGAATTCTCATACTTGAACAAAACTTAGCTCAGAATTTCTTGTCAACCAGGATAAGGCCAATGGAATATGGTCTGGTGGGTAAGGCCAATGGCATATAGTCAGGAGGATAAGGCCAATGGAATATGGTTGAGGGTAAGCTTGGGCAAGGGAGAGAAGTCCGGGCAAGGAGGGGATATAGCTGGGGGTGGGGAGTAGAGGGAAAATTCCAGGAAGTGGGGGATAAGGCCAATGAGATATTATCAGTGGGATAAAAACAAGGGGTCTGGCCAGGGGGATGAGGGCAAAAGATATGGCCAATGGGATATTATTGGGGGGATAAAGCTAGGGTGGTAAGGCCTAGGGGATAAGACCAGGGGGACAAGGCCAGAGTACATGACCATTGGGATAAGACCATTGGGTTAAAGCCAGGGGGAGAAAGCCAAAACATAAGGCCAACGGGACATGGTCTGGGGAGGACGGCCAGTGGGATAAGGCCAAGGGGACAAGGCTAGAGGAATAAGGCCAATGGGTATGATCAAGGCAATGAGGCCAGAATGATAACACCATGGGAATGTGGTCAGGGAGATAGTGCCGGAGGGATAAGGCAAGGGGGATAAGGCCAAATGATAAGGCCAGTGGCATATGGTCGGGGATAAGACCGGGGGATATGGTCAGGGGGATAGGGCATGGGGTGATAAAGGTGGGGATAAGACAAAAAGTTAAGGCCAAGGGATTAAAAAAAAATTTTTTTTGTCAACCAAAGCAAAAAGAAATAATAATATAGGTATCACTATCTAATAAAAAGTAAACATGTCAGTTAGGGAAAGGTTTTATGAGTATTTTACTAGCACAGCGAGGAATATATAATGTGATTCTTTATGAAAAAGCAATTGCATAACTTTTTTTGTAGCAATTCTACAAAATAGAAATGGTCTTTATGGGACTGTTTCTTAAACCCTCAATAAAAGTTGTGGACATATGTAGATTCTGATTTTGTTAAGTCATTTCTGTGAAGGTCTGAGGATAATGTATTTGAGGTTAAGGGCTTTTGATTAAAGCATGTGAAATCCAGGGGAATATTAGCATGGCTTTTGAAAACTTTGTTTCAACCCAAGTTTTTACAGAAAGTCAGTAGCAAGCAAGTTAAAAGATCTTTGGTGAGTGTTCCATGGGAAGAGAATTGTATACTTTAGATACCAGGGGTGTTCTTGGTAGAGTTGAAATTTTGTTAAGAAAATTGAAGGCAGAAGGACATATTTTGGAGACTGCAAAGAGTACTAAAATTTTTCTAAAGGTAAATGTGGGGAGGAGAGAGAAAAATATTTGCATGCCTAGTGATAAGCATTTGCATGTGTTAATATTGATCTTAAGTGTCTGAGATGGTATGATATTTAATTTATTAATCAAAAAAGAGATGAATTCATCATTTGAGTTAATTGCATTTTCATTGAGAAGTTGGGAACCCCAGGGTGGGAGGGGGTAGAAGGGGATTGGGTATATTCACAACTAAGGGGCACCATCTGGGGGATGGACATGCTTGAAGCTCTGACTTGGGTGGGGCAAAGGCAATATATGTAACCTAAACATTAGTACCCCTGTAATATACTGAAATAAAAAAAAATTAAAAAATATATGAGACATGAAAAACAAATAAATAAAAATAAATAAAACAGAAGTCAGGAACTGAGGCAGTTAATAGATACTATGTGAAAATAGTTACTTATATGAGCAGTGACAAAACAGAAGTGACCTGAGCCTTTAGCCTGTTTTTCTCAGAAATTTTTTTAATCTTGTTTTCAGTGTCTAGGATTTAGTGCTGCAATCTGTATAATGTACAGTCTCTATTATACAACCTAATTTTTACACTTAGAAATAAAATACTTTTCATAGAAATAAAGTACTTTTCACATCTTGTAGTCCTTACCTCACACAGCTGTTCTTTTTCTGTCTAGTCTCGATAACTCCTAAACCTTTTTTCACACTCTCATCTCTCATTTTCATCTGCTCTCTGCCAAATACTCACTCATACATTTTTCACTCATCACTTTATCCTTTCCTATAAACTTGTGCATTGCCCTGCCTCCCTGTGTTCTTAGTGTCCTACCAGCTTATTTGCATGTACTTATGGGAAAATGCCTGTCTATAAGCAGTTGTGTCTGTGTGCTTGTGGGTATGTGCAGATCGTACTCTACGTCTGTCCATATGTACAGGTAAATTGAAAGGACTGTTTTTAAAAATCACTTAGATGATAGTTCCCTATTTGTTCTTCCTCTGAAGGTTAACCATGTCATCTTTGTGGTTTAAGTGTTGAGTGATAACAGAGGTAGGATAGTTACCTGACTGAGTGATGCAAACGTGATAGAGATTGTGCATCTGTTTATTTAATACTATGCAGTATATTCTGTGAAACTCCAGTGGATCTAAGTTTGTTACAGACCACTGTCACATATATCATTTTATACATCAATCACAGCAATGGTTCTCGTTCCTGAACCAGATTTACTGCTGCAGAGATACTGTAGCTACTATGTATACATCAATTTTCCCAAGCAGTAGGTGGATATTAGAAGAACATCTGCTGTCCTTCATGGTTATATATAGCTGGGAACTACTGACCTCTAGAGTAAAATCAAAATCCATGATAAAGAAGTTACTTAGAATGAGAATGGGGATGATTATGTCTGTTTGCTTAAGCTCTTAATTATTTCTCTATTCCCAGTTATTCTCAATTCTGTAGAATCAGTATCTAAATCTATTTTTTGCTTGGTCTATAATTACTGGGCACTCTTGAAAGTTAATGAGGGTGAACCTAGTGCCAACTAATTGTAAGAGAGAAGTAATTTACCCAGGACAGGAAAGTAAATTCCACAAATGGGAGGAAAAAAAGAAAAAGAGGGCAGGGCTACATTTCATAGCTGTCTACCTTCACAGTGTCAGAGGTTGAAGTGTTGCTTCTTAACCTTAAAGATTCCCTATTTACTTGCCCCCCTGTGAATGTGAGAGGAAATAGTCTTCTCTGAGAAGTTCTGATCATATATCATTAAGATATACTGAAAAGAAGTATTTGTTTTGTAATACATTCCCAACTGTAGAGAGAATTAAATAGTCAGGAGGAGGCTGGCATATAAAGTTACCTTTTTTTCTAGGACTCTGGTCTCAATTTCCAGGGCTAGCATTTATGAATAGACAGAATAGACTTGCCTTTCTAGCCCTTGCCCCATCTCTGATTTCCTTACCCAGCCTTCCTGTAATCAATGTTTGCTTAGACAGTTTCCTTTGAAAATATATTTTCTCTTAGGGAGACTCATCCTCTAAGCTTGGATTAGTCAGTATCTTAATAGCCAGCTAAGCACCAGAACATGTTTTGGTAATGATATGGCAGACTAGATTTGGATTAAAGCCTAGGTGTGCTGCCTTTTACTAGCTATGTGACATTTTTCAAGTTACCTAAGCTTTCGTAACCTTTAGTTTCCTAATTTGCAAGACAAGGGTAATAATACCTACTTCATAAGGCTGAATGGCAAATATGCAAAATGCCTGACATATAGTTAGAGCTTAGTAAGATCTAGAACTCATTGTTAATTTTTAAATGTTATTAAGTACGACCTATTTTCATTATTTATGATTTTTTGGTTAAGAGTACAGCCTTCCAGTCAAGCTACTTGTTCAAATCCCAGCTCCATCCCTTACTGTCTTGTTAATTTTGGGCAAGTTACTTAAATTTTCTGCACCTTAAGTTTTCTTGTCTATAAGATAGAGATAATCCCTACTTCATAGGATTGTTGTTGAAATTAAATGAGTGAATACATGTGAAGCACCTAAAGCAGGACCTGGCATTTAATAACAGCTCAGTAAATGTTAGAAATTATTTTTCTACCATCACTTTATTTCAGAAGGTTGATGAGAGCAGTTCTTTGCAAAACATAATAGTCAAGGACTTAAAAGGATACCAAACACACATTTTATCTATTTACCAACATGGCCTAGGTCTAATTCTGATACAACTTACTTAAAAATGTAGTTGGCAATCCCTCTTCCAAGGTTCTTTCCTAATAAGACTCTATACAAATTCTGGAAGTCTGTCCATCCTCCACCTCCCATTCCCTTGTAATCTTAATAAATGATTCGTCTGTGGCAGAATTTCTTTCTGTATAAGTTGTATAAAATAGAAATCTCTGTAATTTATCTTTCAGGAGATAATTGTTACTGAATTGGTTTAATTTCTTTTTTCTAGCAACCCCCTCCACGTTTGATAAATTTTCAAAATCATAGTCCCAAACCCAGTGGACCAGTTCTTCCTCCTCATCCTCAACAACTGAGATATCCACCAAACCAGAATATACCACGGCAAGCAATAAAGCCCAACCCCCTACAGATGGCTTTCTTGGCTCAACAAGCCATAAAACAGGTCTGTATCTACTTTCTCTCCTCATGTGCTTATTCTGCTGCTATTTCCAAATCACACTGAATTTATAGATTATGAAGAGCAAGGTGAGTTGTAAAGTTTATTACAGACAGACCTGTGAAGGCAAAGCTAAGAGAAAGGGTCTTGATGCTTTGTAATCAACAAGAGAAATCAAGCCACTTAAGTGAAGGCCCGGTATAATCAAGAAGTTACATGTATTAATTTTTACAATACTGGTATATATAACTTTTAGGTGAGTACATTTAGTTTCCTAAGTTAAAAGTATTCTAACAAAAAGAAGTTACATTCCACAAAATAGAACAATATATGAATCCTGGAAGTGTTTCAAGGAGACTTCTTGGAAACAAACTTAGTTATGGCACAGTGTCAATATGGAATACATCTGATAAAGTTTAACATTTCAGGTTATATATATAATATGATATGGTTTATTTATATTAATGTCTTCAGGTAAAAGATATTTTCTAAGTTTTACTGTCTTATAGTAAAAGTTCTCTCAGTGCTTTGTCTTTTCAAAGCTCCTCTGTCAACTGTCTTTCCAGCTGAAGGCTTGTAGGCTCACTTCGATTTAATCTTTTCACCAAGACCAAAGGAAAAACAGTGCTACTTCCATAATTCTGTGATGTTCATTTTGTTATACATCAATCACAGCAATGGTTCTGGTTCCTGAACCAGATTTACTGCTGCAGAGATACTGTAGCTACTATGTAGATGTGGGGATAGATAGATTTAGTAAAGGTTTAATAAGGAATCTAAAATCTAATTCATATAAATTATTATTTTCAGTTACATTTATTTACTAA